TGATTTAATATCCTAGAACTAAATAACCTAACTGAATGTTGTAGAAATGACAGTCCCCTTGTGAGTCACTTCACTTGGTTTAAGGACATGAGTAAGTTCAATGGCTCTTGTGGAAGTGCCTCCAGAAATTGTTTTAAACCAAGAACAATATGAGTTCTAGGTCTAAAAGTGTTCAAAACTCCTGCTTTGAAGGGAACAAATGGGTTTTGTTTTCTGCTATGAGTAAGTGGTTATTCAAAACCAATTGTAGTCACACCTGGGTTAACAGGATCGTCAACCTAACCAATTTGGCTTTCATGACTATAGACCTATCATAAAAGAATGAGTAGTTTTTTCTTTTCCCCTACTTTTTCTGAAAAGATAATAAGAAATATCCTTTCTTAGGATATCCTTTCTTAGTTTCAAGAGAAAGCGATTCCAAACATAAACTAATAAACTAAAATTTCAGATATTAAAAAGTCCTATTTTTAAAAAGAAAAAAAATTGGTGACCCAATATTGCAGAATGCCTGGATGTGAGGCTCCTTTAGTTATGGTAGCCAGGGAAGGCTTCTCTAAAAGGTGTTATTTGAGACATGAGTTATGAAGACAATCATGCAAAGATCTACAGGAAGAGCATTCCTGGCAGAGGAATCATAAGGATGGAACAAAGTTGGAAAGAAGGTCATTGTGTCTGGAATGTAGAGTGAAGGGAGCAGTGGTAGATCAGATCATATCCTGAAGGTCCTTGTAAACCAAGGGAAGAGGTTGATTCCAATTGCAATGGAAAGTCACTGGATGAGGTAAAGCAGGGGAGTTACTTGATGAATGTTCTGAAAATGTCACTCTAACTGTGGTCTAAAGACTAGAGTGTAGAGGGGCCAGCAAGGAAGCTTAGAGACCTTTAGGAGCTGTTGCTGTAAACCACATTTTGGAAGTAGAACTTACAGAACTTATTGATGGATATTAGAAGTAAGGGAGAAAAGGGAATCAAGGATGGTATACAGGGTGGGGCAAAAGTAGGTTTACAATTGTGAGTATGTGAAACAGAGTTTATTCTTATATTATTACTTATTAATTATTGTATTATTTTCCATATGACTAACTTTAAACCTACTTTTGCCCCACCCTGTATATATTTTAATATGCTGTTCCATATTAAAACCAAGGACAATATACAGGGTGTCCCAAAGAATGTATATATACTGTAACACCTAATAGCTCAATTTTTAAAATGAAATGTATTTTAATAAACACTGCCTTTATAACTATTGCCTCTATTTTAGAGATGCAGATACTGATGCACAGAGCTTAAGTAACTGATCTAAGCTTACATAGCTAGGAAATGGCACAGCTGAGGATTCCATTCCAGGTACTACAGCTCCAGTGTCTGTGCTCCTTACTACTGTACAATGTGTGTGGTAAAATTAGTATCCTTATTCACACCTGGTGGCACTATGAATTTGTTCAACTTCAAACATTTAAATATAGAGCTACCATATGACTCAGTAATTTCACTCCTACATATTCTTTCCCAAGAGAATTGAAAACATATGTACAAAAACTAGTATACAAATATTCATAGCAGCATTATTCATAACATCACAAAAGTGGGAACAACCCAAATGTCCATCAATTTTGAATGGATAAACAAAATGTGGTATATCCATACACTAGGATATTACTTAGCCACAAAAGGAATGACGTACTAAACAATGTTGCAACTTTGATGAACCCTAAAAACTTTATGCTAAGTGAAAGAAGCCATATACAAAAGGCCATATATTGTATGACTCCATTTATATCAACTGTATAGAATAGGAAAATCTATTGAGACAGAAAGCAGAGTAGGAGTTTCCCAGGACTAGAGGAAGGGGGAGAATGGAGAGTAACTGCTAATGGTACAGGGTTTCTTTTTGGGGTGATGAAAATGTTATGAAATTAGATAGCAACGATGGTTGTACAACCTTTTAAAATACTAAAGATTTCTAATTTGTACACTTAAATGGTGAATTTTATGGTATGTGAATTAAATCTCAATTTAAAATTTTCTAGGTAGGGAGAGAACAAGATTTCCTGTCCACTGTTGCCATTATATTACACTGCCACTTGGCGTCACTGCTGAGGAATGGACAAAGTCCAGACAAGGTTTGTACAAAGCTCAGTAATGCTTTGCCAGCTCAGACCATGTCCAGGCTACAGGTGTGCTCCATGATTGAAGTGTAAGGTTAAAATTCAGACCATGTTCCCCAGAGCATGAGAAACACCATTCCAGAAAAGCTTAGTTGAAGATCTTCTAGCCTCAGTCCCACACACTGTGCAACTACTTGCCCTCCATAACAGACTGAGGTTTTTGGCTAATCCTGGTTCCCATATTAATGGAGATATTCACACTCTTTGAAACAGCATCTCTGTTAAGAAGAAATACCTCTAAGCATGTCTTAAGCTTTCAAAAACTTTGTTTTTTTAAAGAAGTACTTTATGGATATAAAGGGAAATATTGAGTAATTTTCCTTTCCTGTGGTAGGAAGACTTTCCATGAGTCGAGGGATTTACATTCAATTTCTATATATTTATATTTTTTAACCCTGTATTTCCCCATCAAAATATTAAAAAGCTATATATATATATATATATATATATATATATATATATATATGAAGATGGTCATCATGATACTATTGACAATAGCAAACAAGAAATCAGAAATATCCAACAATGGGAATTGTATACATACTTCTGGGAAATCTGACAACTGTTAAAAATGACACACATGAATGCTATTTAACATGAAAATCCTTATGCTATAATGCAAAATGATTTTTTAAAAGCAAATATTTGTACATGTGTGTAAAAACATATACACACACATTTATACAATTAGAAATAATGCATATAGCAGTTAAAGTTATATTAATTTGATTTGAAATGAATTCTTTTAATCCTCTTACCCCACATTCTAAAAAATGTGCCATATATATATATATATATATATATATATATATATATATATATATATATATATATATCAATTACCAGGGTATATATTCTCATAGTCACTTTTTCACTTATATTTCAAAGTTGTGAACATATCATACATACAAGAGTATTTATAATGTATGTATACAGTTTAAAGTGTATCCATTGAGTTTCAATCAGGAATCAGAATTATACTCAGTTGGTTTGACTAAAGAGATATTAATGTAGTAAAGAGATATTAATGTAGACACTATTTAAAGGGTGTGGTAAGGTTGAGAGAATCATCCAGCTGAGGCATCCCAACCATCAAGATGAAGTTAAGAACCATCAACTTGAGAGTCTTGGTGCAACAGCAGGAAGCCCATACCATTTTTAGACTAAAGAGCAAGGGAGGATGCCCTGGCCGATTTGCTCAATGGTTAGAGCCAAAGGGTTACAGGTTCGATCAGGGTCAAGGGCAGGTGTGTGAGCTGGAGCCATGGAGGAGAGACCTCTGGTCAAGAGCTGCAGCTGTGGAGAAACACAGCCACCGCCAGATCCTTACACCGAAACAGAGAAAGAATGGATAAAACATATCCTACCTCTCTTTCCTCCTGCCTACAATTTCCTGATGCTTCCATTGTTTAAACCCAGCTAAGAAGAGCCCAGGTGATGCTTTCCAAAAAGGTCAGCTTCTGGGGTAAAGAATAGGGCAGGGGAGGGAGAAAAATAAATATGAGTAAATATGAGGGTAGACAAAGAGAAAACCCAGATAGTCTACTTGTTTTTCCCACCCCAGATTTATTCTTGCCCTTTGCTCAAATGAAGAGAAGTTTATCCCCTGCACATGAGAATCACAGAATCCTACCAATCATCAAATTGCTTTGAGGTGATGTCAATTTGGGTGTAGTCTAGAAACTAAATTATAATATTTGTTTCCACCAGTACACTTCATGCAAAGTAACAGGGAAAGAGGGGCCAGGGAGGTTATAACCAGTTAACATTTTGTATGCAGAGCTACAATAATCCCTGCCTCTACAACTTGTCGCTAAAAATGAGAATCAAAGCTTCCTACTTTATTCACGTATGTTTCCCTGGCCTTATGCACTACCGGGATAAATCAGGATTTTTTTACACTTTAATTTTTGCATGGTCTGAAATTTAAGTGGTCCGACTTTATCAGGTTACTGCAGTTATCTAATGAGCATTATTATTGTAGATGGGAGGAATAAGATGGGTCCAGTGAATCTCTGGGGGTCATGCACAGTTCCCCTTCCCTTCATTGTATAGCTGCAACCCAATTTCCTCTCAGTCATTGGGATCAGTCATCCCAATTCTATCACTATGAGGAACCAAAATAATCAGGGGCAATTTCAGCTTTCAATTCAATAGAATCATGGCTGTGTCCTCAAGTGGTAGCATTTCTTTCCTTTGAACTAGGACTTCCAAAAATGATAAACCCAAGGTTGTAAAAGAGGTGTGCTGGATATTTTCCATTTGTCCTGTCAGTCATTGTCCCTAGGAGGCTTGCCTCTATAGACTGCACCCACCTGTCTCCTTCTTTCTCTGGCTTCCTGTTCATCCTCAACATTAAATCTATTCTGCCAGTAGAAAAGCCCTTAAAAATGTTTATAAGGATTATATTTTTAAGTGACAACCTCTCACAAGATACATTCTCTTCCTGGAAACAGATCCAACAGTGGTGGTTGATACCATTTCTAGAGAATAACAGTAAAACAGCTCATTAAAGTCTATCGAGGCTTAGCAGGGCACAGGAGCATGGATTCTCATGTACGTGTTAACAGGGTTACTGACAAAGTTCACTTGAAGCTTTTAAGTGAGACTGTCACTCTGCGTCCTCTGCCTCCCCTCAAAATCTGACAGCTCAGTCGCTGGGGTTTTGAATTTGCCTCTTCGACCTGCCCCTTCCAGGTGCCAAGTATAGAACACAGCAGGCCTAGGTCGGGCGCGCGGGTCCTTTAAAGAAGACAAGGGCTGCGCTGATTGGCTGAGGGGTTGGAATCCACTGTCACGGCTAGCCAATCCGCAAGGCGAAGCCCGGTTCTTGGCGCGGACTAGGGGACCCGAAACCTGAATGTCTCAGCGGCCTTTACCTTGCCCCGCTCCTCCACTGCCCGCTGCCCAGTAATTGAGCACCAGCCTTGCGGGACCCGGCCGGCCACAGGTGGGTGGAGAGCGCGGGTCCACGTCCTCCGACGCTGAGCTGCCGGGCTCGGCGTGCAGGCCCGTGCGGCGCCCTTGCTCCTAGTGTGCTCCCGCCCTCGGCTCCCTTCCTGCTCCCAGTGGAGAAGGTTAGTGTGCGCCCGCCCTCGGCTCCCTTCCTGCTCCCAGTGGAGAAGGTCTCCTACTGGTTTCGGAAAGAATCCCTTCCGGTCGATAGGACTCCGGGCCTTTCCCGCACCTTGTAATCAAACTGGGAAAGTATACAGAGCACTATCCTCGGAAATCAGCATACCATTCAGGAAATACCCAGGTTATTGTCATCAGGGCGGGTGGAGTTAAATTAGGGAAACCCTCCGGAAGTTGTAGGTTAAGGGCTGGAATTTGCAGGGGAAGTGGGCTAATGTGAACGGAACGCAACGACTTATTGAAAATGATTGTAATTATGCAACCAGTCATAAATGTAGGTTATGTGTAATTCGATCAGGAAGTGAGTCAGCGCAGAAATTTGGATGACAGAGGTCGTGGGTTATGGGATTATCCTTTAAAAAAAAAAAAGAATTAAATGCATGTTCTCAGCGGTGCCTGTAAGTTGCAGCCTCAACACTCCTCAGAAATATCCCTTCCCATTGTAATCTATAGCAAACTGACACTGGGCTGGAGTATCAAAGAGCCCATTTTAAGGTCTCAGGAGTAATCAAAGGAAAAATGCAGTCATTAAGAACTCAAATCAGCATTCTCAGTCCTCTGAGACACACTGGTCTCTAAATTTTAAGTATCAAGAAATTTGTCACAAATGGTAAGTGTTGGAATTTTTGAAAGGCTTACTTATACAACTGAGTGAATTCAGTTATTCCTATTGAAAGATCACTCTTGCTTATTTTCTTTCCCCAGTTTTACTGACAAATAATTGACATACATCATTGTCTAAGTTTAAGGTATACAGCATGATGGTTGGACTTACATATATTGTGAAATGATAACCACAACAGGTTCAGCTAATACCTATCATGTAGATACAGTAAGAAGAAAGAAAAAACTTTTTCCTTCTTGTGATGAGAACTATTAAGATTTATTCTCTTAACTTTCCTATGTATCATACAGCAGTATGAACAATAGTCATCATTTTACTAATATTTTGTGAGTCCAGCTGGTGTGGCTCAGTGGTTGAGCGTTGACCTATGAACCAGGAGGTCACAGTTCGATTCCCAATCATGGCACATGCCAGGTTGTAGGTGATCCCCAGTGTGGGGCTTGCAGGAGGCAGCCAATCGATTCTCTCTCATTATTGATGTTTCTATCTCTCTCTCCTTCTTCTGTCCTCTCTGAAACATATATATATATGGGAGAGAGAAGAATGAGAGTATTATGAACACCTTCCAGACATTGGAAAATGTGGGAAAAGTTGAAAATACTGAACTCCAAGATGTAGTTTACAAGGTGTGGTGCCCTTGTTTCCAGGTGTGATCTCCCCTGAGGACCACAGGGAAGCTCTTCTCTTGGGTTTGCTTCTAGCTTTGACCCTTGGGAACGTTGCCTAACACATTCAAACTACAATCTAGAAGACCCAAGAGAGCAAGGCCCAGAAAGAGGTAAACTTAAATCCTAACTTTCCACATAGTTTCTTTTCCCTAGATGGCTGATATACAGACTCTTCCTGTATTTCAAGGAAGATCCCACCCCTTAATAAATAGTAGCACTGTAAGAGACATAGCTCTGTGACATACTATGTGTGTGTAAGAATAGGATTAGGGGACAATTGTTTTCTTTAGAAATGTTTGCAACATATGTAAATTTTCAATTATCCACTCCTATATGCAGAAGAAAAGTAAGAAATGGCAAGTGACCTGAGCCAACCTTTCTCTAGTGTCACTCATTACCTTCTGCAAACTTTTATGGGAAAGAGACACCATGGAGACTGCCAAGATGGATAATACATTGCTTCTGCCTTCAGGCAATTTCTGGTCTGCTATTGGAGACCATTGACATGGGACTGTCAGAATTTGCAGGAATGAGAGAATTTATGCTAGATCTCCCCACTCTCAATGGGTGGCCTCCAATTCTGGTCACAGAATGGAGTGGGGCAGTGGTAGAGCAGGAGGGAAACCTCATGACCTCTCACGGCTGTGCTTCTACTTTCTGGTGAATAACTGGCCTCTTCCCAACACTAAAACTGACTCTGGACCAGAGGCCCCCCTGTAATTCCAGGGTGTGTCTACGGCCTGAATACAGGAAAGACAATGAAGTCTGGCTTACAGTTCTCACCCACCTGGAGCCCTAATAGCAGAGATAACTCATTTCACTTGGCATGAAATGCTCTCTCTCCATTCTTCTCCACAATTAGCCAGAACCCAAGATTTCCTGATAGGGATATTGAAAAACAGAAGCTCCAATGGCTTCCCACAGAATACTATGAATCCTGGTAGAAGCATTAAAACTGGCCCTCTGCTCAACAGCTCACCAAAGAGAATCAGCAGCATTGTTGAGGAGGGGAGAGCAATTGTAACATCCTTGAGTTTTGCATTCTGAAAGTAAATAAACTGAAGGTCTTCTGTACCTACCCAATTGGATTAAGACCAAAATATTAAGAGTTCTGGCCTCCCTAGAATTGACAGCCCACATAAGATAGACAATATCTTATATTCATTTAAAAACTGAGTTTCCCATGACATTTAATTATCCTTATGTTTTCCCCCTTGAGAACTTCAGGGGGAAGTTAGTAGCTTGAAGAGAACAAAGGTGAAACTTGAGGAGGATGGCCAAGGGATGTCAGGAGTGGGTGGCTGGAAATAGAGGGTGTTTAGGAGAGGGGCAGGATTATAAGAAGAGTACTGATATAGTGACTTTGAGATATTTAAAACCTCCTAAAACACAAATGCACAGACAAATCTGTCCTCAAAGTGCATGATGCATCTTCTGCATCACCCCTCTTCAGAAACAAAGATTTTCTCATCCAACTATACAGAAGGTAGAGTATAGACGGTATCCTCCCTCTCTCTCTCTCTCTCTCTCTCTCTCTCTCTCTCTCTCTCTCACACACACACACACACACACACACACACACAACCAGAGAGTTTTTCTGTATGTTTGTTTTTAAGTATTCAGTTCTTCAAGATTTACAGTGGGAAACAAAATCAGCAAACATGGAGCCAAATATTTACAAAGCATAAGATTTTGGAAGTCGTCTAGTTCAATCAGCTGGTCTTACTAAGTGACAGCCAAGCCAGTTAAGTTTGCCCACAATCAGACAGTTAGTTGAGAGCAAGGACTAGAATCCAAAACTGTGTTCCCAGGTCAGAGTTTTTTTCTTACATTGTTATAAGTTCACAATATTCCAAGCCACAGCACATGAGGGATGCATGTAAAATGTATTGTTTTAAACTTCTTTGCTTTTTTATATTTAGGTCAAGATGGGGTTTATATTCTCAAAATCTATGAACGAAAACATGAAAAACCAACAGGAGTTCATGCTTATGAATGCTCGACTTCAGGTACTTTTAAAATAATTAAGCTTTTATGTTGTTACTTTATGTTGTTACTAGAGACCCGGTGCATGAAATCGTGCACATTGAAAGGAAATTAATTAAAAGAAATATTTTAATATCGCTATTCACCTTTTCTCTATAATAGAAGTGTCAACCAAATTCATGATCAGCAATGAAAGATGGAAACACACGTGTGTGATTGGCGCCAGCAAGAGCTTTATATATATAGATATATAGATAAGTATATCTATATATATCGATATATAGATAGATAGATAAACTTGTTTAATTAGATCTGCTTTCTTATTTAGCTAAACTTTTTCCAGCCTAGTGAAGCACCCCAACTTCTCTTTTAGGTAATTGTCAGCAACACAGCAGTAAATATCAACATGAAGGAGATTATTATTGTAGATCACTCAGGGAGAACAAAGGGTGAAATATTTACCTGTAGCAGTGTTTGACTATATTCTGCGCAGTAAGAAAACCTGAAGTCATTTTCAAGTTCCACCATTTCTTACTTCTTTTCAGTCTGGTCAAGCTTCTAAACTTTCTAAATCTCTGTTTTCTGGCTAATGAAAAGAAAATAGGATTCTACCAAGTCTCCTATCTACCTACTCCAGGACTTCTGTGAGGATTGACAGAGATGAGGCACATGAAAACGCTTCACAGACATTTGGTTAAACTGTAAAATGTTTGCAACTGGCTATAAAGCAAATCGTGTTCCTGTGCTGAAGAAACTCCAAGGAGGCTAGTCGCTGGGCATTGCTACATGACATCATTCCCCGGTGCCCACAGCCACCATTTCTGAGCTGGGCTGGGCTGTGGACCACATTTTGCACCATCGGGTCTTGGCAGCATCGGCTGCGATTTAGTGGGCTGTCGCTCTGGGGTGATGGTGGGACCTGTGTCCCACGGGGGGGAAGCCAAGTGTTGCTTTCTCTGTAAATGGCCAGTGTGCATCAGTGTCTGCCCCCTGGTGGTCAGTGTGCATTATAGTGACTGGTCAAACAGAAACTTAGCATATTAGCCTTTTATATATATATAGATGGTGGTTAAAGTTTCTAACGTGTGCTCCAGCAGTATGTTCTCTTTGACCCCAAAAGGTAAAGTGCTCTTGGGGCTCCATCCTCAAAGCCAAGATGAAATGGATTGTTAATTATCTAGTGAATGGGCTTTTAAAAATCTCCAATCCAGATATTTCTGCTAAAATGTCCATACTATAGCTCTGGCTGGTTTGGCTCAGTGGATAGAGCATCGGCCCACACACTGAAGCGTCCCGGGTTTGATTGTGGTCAAGGGCATGTATCTCAGTTGCAGGCATGCTGCAGGCTGGATCCCCAGCCTCGGGTTAGGGGCAGGAGGCAGCCCATCAATGTGTCTCTCTCACTCTCTCTAAAAATCAATGAAAAAATATCCTCCAATGAGAATTAACGAAAATAAACAAAAAGTTTATATACCATAGTAAGAGACAACTGCTTACAATATAGAGTAGGGAGAATGATACCCCCTCAAAGATATTTGCATCCTGATCCCCTGTGACTGTTTTTCTTTGCATGACCAAGGGCTCTGCAATGTGATTAAGTTAAGAGCTTGAGATGGAGAAGATCCTGTATTATCTTGGATGATCTGGATGGGCACAATGTAATCACAAGGTTCTTGTAAGGGAAAGAGGGAGGCAGGAGAGCCAGAGGAGGGGCAGGCAGGGTAGGAGGAGAGATTTGAAAATGCCTTGCTGCTGGCTTTGGAGATGGAGTAAAGGACCATGAGCCAAGAAACACAAACAACTTCTAGAAAATGGAAAAGGCAAGGATATGGATTCTCCCCTGGAGCCTCCAGAGGCAGTGCAGTTCCATTTTGGCTTACAGTTCTCACCCACCTTTCCAAGGTTCCATTTTGGACTGCTGACCTCTAGAACTGTAAGAAAATAAATCTGTGTTGTTTTAAGCTACTAAGTTTGATAATTTGTGATATAACAATAGGACACTAATACAGAGTATGAAAACGACACTGGATTTATACATAGGCTGCATAGAAAAGATCAAAGCAGATTATCTAATTGCCTATATATAGGTTGTCAAAAAGTATTTTAAAATGTTGTATGTCAAAATCAAGTGTTAAAAATTTGACTGGAATCATCTTCCTAAAATATCAAATAAAGATTTCTAGGCCTCTGTGGTTCATTATGGCTCCGAGAATAGAAAGTCCTACTCTAAGGCAGTATACAAAGTGGTTAAAAGTGAGGACTGAAGCCAGGCTGTTTTTGAACCCTATCTCTACCCTGACTAACTTTAGGCCTGTGCCTCTGTCTCCTCATCTGTAAGCTGGAGGTGATAGTATCCCCTGCATAGGGTTATTTTGAAGAGTAAAGATGGTCGTGTATAAAAAGTGTGTAGAACAAGACCTCAAATCTTTAAAACAATGTCTCTCATTCTATAAATATTAGTGGCTGTTGTTGCTATTGTTATTAAAGAGTGACAAGAGTGTCTTATGCAGGCTAATGTCTTTTGGGGGAATGGAACAATTGAAAGAATGGGCAGCTGAATTACTGTAACAGAGCAGAGTGACCTAGAGAAGACCAGACGTTAGGCATACAAACCAGCCATGAATGTCACATACTCAGAGTCCTTGTCCAAGACCTTTGGAAACTATAGGGCGTTTACTCTTACATCAGTCCCCATGAAGTCAGGATCTGTGAAGGATCTGGGATTTTAATGTATTTGCAAGCTAACAAATTAGCCTGTGACTATTTCATGGATGCTGGCAGAATTCAGGAGATACCATGTCAGAGACAGAGAACTTAATTACTCATAACATAGAAAGCAGCATGAGCACGAGGTTGCTATCAATTTCCCATTCCCCTCAAGTCTCACAGATGATACAAATACGGCTGTAGATGGGTGCTGGGCATTCAGTGGGTTTGTGGCACATTTGAAAAACACTGAGCTTAGGGAATCTACTGCTTTTATAATGAGCGGTGAGCTCCTGGAGTTGGGGAGGATTATCTTCTTTTTTCTTTTTTTTTTTCCTAATATATTTTTATTGATTTCAGAGAGGAAGGGAGAGGGAAAGAGAGAGAGAACCATCAATGATGAGAGAGAATCACTGATCAGTTGCCTCCTGTACACCCTACACTGGGGATGGAAATGCAACCCAGGCATGTGCCTGACTGGGAATCAAACCATGATCTCCTGGTTCATAGGTCAACACTCAACCACTGACCCACACTGGCCAGGCAAGGGTTACCTTATTTCTCAAGATTGTTCACTACAAACACAGCCCAGAGAAATGGCCTGAACAAAGAGCACTCTAGGTCTTGCATTCTTGGCCTACCCAGCAAGAATGTGCTGGGACATTCAGGGCCGATGACATATTAATCCTCCTGACAACCTGCTCCTCAGCCCAACTGACCAGAGCTTTGAGAACAAACTTGACTTCTGCCCACTGATTCCAGCAACCACCATAGAGGGCACTGAGGTCAGACTGGCAGGAGCACTATCGGTAACATCAGTTTTCAGCTTAGTTGAATCAGAGGTGAAACAGGCCCAGGCATTTAGAAGAATCTCTGTGGGGCACTTATTGAGCCAGTAACTTTGCCTTAGGTGGTAGAATGGGATAAAGTTTTTCCCAAAGGGGTAGCTGCTACTTTATGCAAAATTGAGATGATAACAGGGCCAGGCCAGCCATGCCCTCAAATACATTTTAATTTGACCAGCAAATGAGCCCTTACATTCTAGTTGTCCTGTCCTAGTTAACCCACCCAAAATGGAGATGTCAGGTCTAAGTGGCACAAGACTTCCATGGGTCAGGTGTTCATTTTTAACAAGAGCGCTGTAGTAGGCCAACAGCTGCCTCATGTTATTGAAAGGGGTATATTACAGGTTCAGTGTAACACCACCCACCCACCCCTAAATTTCTATGTTAAAGACTTAACCCTCACTGCCTCAGCATGTGACCTTATTTGGAGATAGATGCTTCATAGAGGTAATCAACTTAAAATGAGGTCATCAGGGTGGGCCCTAATCCAATATGACTGGCATCCTTATAAAAAAAGGGGAAATTTGGACCTAGAGATAGGCATGCAGGGACAATGCCATGTGAATATGAAATTGGCCATTTACAAACCAAGGAGAGAGGCCTGAACATTACAGCCCCAGCAATGAACCAACCCTGCTGACACCTTAATTTTAGACTTTCAAACTCCAGACTGAGACAATATGTTTTTGTTGCTTAAGCCAGGCAGTTTGTGTGTACTTTGTTGTGGCAGCTCTAGAAACTAATACAGGATGTATTTGGTGCCTGTGTCCAGCAGGTGACACTGCAGTACTGGGCCTCTCTGGAGATCAACTGTGATTTTCTGTTTTTCTCTCTGGGATTCTATATTGTGTCTATTAGACCACGGGAAGGGGCCAGGGAATCCCTGAATGGAAGGGTGTCCTCTCGTCACTATAAATATTTAATTATATTAATATATAAACAAGTAACACAATTTCATTACACATTCATATAACAGGGGAAACAACTGTAAGATCTTGAAGCAGCTCAGAGGTCATTTTTAATTTCCCTTCCTTGAGGCAAACTTCTTTCAAACCCTATCAGTTGAATTCCAGAGCTTTTTTCCCTCTGGGAACACAGACCAAAGAAATTAACATAGGTAATTCAGGGTTATTTTAGCAGTGTCATGAGATATGCTATCCCCAGCGAGCTGGAGGAATTGAGGAGTGCAAAGCAGCTAGGAAGCTTTTTGCCCTTTGGCTCCTAATCCCAGCATGGGTGCAGCTTCCTCCCATGTGCACCCCTGGCCTCCAAGAGCACTGAGTTTCAGGGCATCATTCTTTTAACCTCTGCTAGTGCCAATACTCTGACCTGTGTGTCATAAGAAACCGCCAAACCTGTAGAGAATTTTTATGAGTTTGTTTGAACCAAACTGAGGAAAATTTCTGGGAAGCAAAACCTCAATGGACTGAGAAAATGCTCCAGAGAATGGCAGTTTTGCAGCTTCCTTTATA